GGTCCGAAATTTGCCCCTTCGCTTCCTTCCGGAAATTATCCATGACATGGCAGAGGTCCTCGACCTCCAGGGTAAGAAGCTTCAGCTCCTCTGGTGCCGACTTAACTCCCTCCACCAATTCGCGGAGGATGACAAGTATCTTGAACCCAAATGCCGCGGTTCCAACAATGCTCGAAACTAAAGATATAGGGTCCATCATTTTCTGCGGAGTATTGAAGCGTTTGGGGAAGGTGATAAACGGGTTTTAACAAAGAGTGAGGCGTACCATAGCAAGAGAATAATGGACGGAGGGAGACGGGGAGCGAAACATCAAGAATCTAATTTCAACACATCAAATTTGATAAGGCTGTTCACTGTACCCCTCCCCGCTATGCTAGACCGCTGCCACCCATCTTCTGCCACTTGTCAACGCAGGGAGTAGTAGGCAAGTCAGGCCGGTGTCGTTTCTGCAGCACCCAGGTAGTAAGTTTGCTCCAATATGCGATTGGTGGTTGCCCAGAGCCAAAGGTTTCGATCGATGTGTATGGATTTCTGACAAGCCACGCCGGACGCGCTTGGCTACAGTCTAAATTTCTGCTGCAGGCTCTGAATGTATGAGAGGGGACCGCGAATAGGTTTTGACGGTGCCCATACCGGCCGGATTGCTTCGGGTACCCGAATTATCTAGCCGGGAGCGCGCCCGAGTATGATATCGCACTTCCCACTCGGAGATTGGCGAATTATAGTACTGCCCGTGGCAAGCCTCATTCTCGAGGAACCCTTATCACAACTCGGGATAAGGTGCAGTAGAACAAGGCAACCATACAAACTCCAGACCTACCAGCACACCACGTGCGCCAAGAGCCAGCAGCACCTATTTAGCGGTCCGATATGATACTTCGTCTCGAAGATATCTTCCGACTCTAATAAGTCACACGGTTGGTTCAAATACGAATCATATTATGATATTTTCACCAACCTCTTACATCCATGATTCATGCACTGTACTGTACTTAGGGTGTGCGCGGAGAGTAGGGAGAAGGCAATGATGGCGGCGAGATTGAGGGTGAAGAGGAATAGGAATAAGAAGAGGCTAGCCTTACAGGAGATATCATCCAATGTAAATGGTATACCCGGTAAGGAAGGCGGAGGGGGGAAGGATGTGTGTCGAGGGGGAGAGGGGAGAAAGGAGTAAGGGGTGGTGTATGAGAGAAAGTTTGGCGGCAAGGACTGGTTTAGAGTCTGTAGGCCTAGGGTTTTTTAAGGGTAGGCGAGGCTATGAAAGCCCAAAGAGGCCCGAGAGTATTATAGGTAGTCCAGTCGGCTAGTAACAACCGGTCTGTCGAACTTAACTCCCATAGGCCCAGTTTTTATGGAGAGGAAATTCAATCGGTTGATTTCCTCGCAATTTGGTGAAGGAAAAAAAGTCTGTCGAACTCTTGGCGCGGTTGTTAAGTGGTATCATACCCGGAGCAGATACTGCTCTCCGAGTGGGCAAGTATGATAGCAATAACGCGAGGTTCGACAGACCTACCCACAACCCCCAGTGCAGTCCTCGAGGCCACACCTCTCATGTGCCCGCGACCAAACCGAAGATAACAGCGTCAACAAGCAATCTGTATGATAATTCACGACAGCCAGAGGACATCAGGATGGAAGAAAGACATTGTCCCCCTCCTCCTCCTCTGGAAGTGGAAAAGGTTAAGCAGACAACGCCCAATAAGCATGGAATAACTATTAAAAATATTGGGGGTTTGGAACGAGATGGCCTCGATAGCAATCGCAGACACTTATATCACGGTGCAGGATCCCCCGCAATCACTACCGCAAGTTGGAATAATTCGACCTCAGGTTCGGACGTTAGAATTGCCTCTTCTAGTAAGGTCGGTGGAACAATTTCCTTCTTATTTGCCCGTTGATGCTTTTCTCCCCCTAATCCAAAGGAGGAAATTCTAGACGTCTTGCCTGGGCGCAAATTGTTCGTATGTTATTATTGTGCTAATCAACGAAAAGAAAGAAAAAAACAAGCGAAAATTTGAGGGGTCGTTGTAAACTTGGGTTGCGCGCAAGCGCTAGTAACTGTGAAAAATAAGAGACTGATAAGAGCGGAGGAATTGTATAAGGTGATAGATAGAGTGAGATTCAAGTTCTTGGGATATTCACGATAGCAGAAGATTGATTGTCCAGTTCACACTTCTTTTCTAACTGCATGACCAGGTCCTTCTTAATAGGATCTGTTTCCTCCAATATCAAGTCCGTGTGGGTGAAAATTTTCATTCCCAAGTAAGGGAGTGAAATATTTTCTCCCGCTAAAGAAAAAGAGTTTTTTACCAGTAAGGGGTAGAGAGTTTCAAAGGAATGAATGAAACAAATAGCTTGAGGATATCCTGATCTCCTAACTTCGCAATAATGAAACAAGCAAGGAGACTACCAAGTGTTTGAAGAAATAAAAAAGAGAAAAACTCATGTGACGGGGACCAAGAATCCAACGGTAACTAGTTTTTTATGGTATCGTAAGTTTCGTGTTTGGAGTGCACGCATATGGGTCACCCAACTGAGTATCCTCCCTACAGACGGCCCTGAGAACCCGATATACTATGATATCGGCATCATCAACTCACAATTCGGCCACGTTTTAAGTCCCTCTCCGTCACCACCTCTACAATTTTGTCAGTCGGCCCATTACTGGCAGCCAGTCTAAGATCGGGTCTACTCTGCCTGGTTCACACAGTACTTAGGAAGAGATGAGAAACAAGTACCTTCAGCGTCCCATCTACGCTTTCATGGAGCTCAGTGCTTAAGCCCAAGATCTGTGAAGCAACTGATGGAAAGCCACCATAGTTGCGGCAGCTACCAAAAATTGGGGGGTGAAGGAGGTACACTTTTGACCAAGTGCCTCCGTCAAACTCACCTCAAGATAAAAGAGAAATAATATTATGAATCATTAACTCTTCTACCAATACAATTAACTAAATATTATGAGGAATCCCTCCCTAGTACCGTATCCCATGAACAGACAAACCTCTGAACTATCATTCCTACCAGCACTGCTCCCACAACCAACTTCAAACAGCGGTATCATACCCAACCAAACCAGCCATTCCCATCGGCCCCACCACCTCCTCCTCCCCAATAAACACTACGATAACTACTCCTATGCAGCTACCCACAGAGCCTCACTCGCCCAGCCTGCCTCGTGCTCCATCAGCGGCTAGTCGTGTAATATGTAATACAGTAAGTGCACAAAATACCAAAATACAAAAAATATCAGTACAGCACAAGGCCAAGGACGAACAAACGAAGCTTTACGACAAGCGCAATGATAGCAATGCTAATTCGTCTTACGAAAGCCACCACGCTCGCAAGATCTGATAGGTATATATATCTTTGACAAGCATGCACTTCTGAAGTTTCAAGAATCCTCGACGAAACCACACCCCCCCCCCAAGAAAACAACACGCTTCAGCTTCAACAAATAGCATCTAGTTCGCTCAAAGTGCGTTCGTATCATGTTCAACAGCAGCGCAGAGCAAAAGTATTATGAGCTAATCTCGACCAAGAATTAGGGTTGAAAAAGTGAGTAGCAAAATTTGGGGTTACAGGCCGATAGCATACTGTCCGACTTGGGTCCTGCTTGTCTGATCTGGGGGAAGTTGGGCGTACATGGAAGGGGGAGGAGGTGGGATAATTGGCTACAGGAGAATCGGAACCTGCTGTATTCGCCCATGGACGCATTTGTCAGAAACCCTGCTGGAGAGGTGGCTATGGACCTGATACTCCATGGTTCTAGCTAGCTAGTCTCCACCAAGGTAAGATGCCGTAGCGTCGACAGTATCAATATCTCTCACACCTCCTTTTTCAGTAAGACCGAGCGAATGCCAATACCAAAGATTGAACAAGGCCCTTCAAGTACTGTACCCAGCCCCACACACAAGCACACGTACCGCACCATAAGATCCCCCTTCCAGAACGCCACCCTCACACTCTGCAGACGACCCAAAACCGCAACCCAGTGCGCCCACACAATTGATACCCAGCAGTGCACATACAAGTAAAGCACACACCCCTGACATGGTGGCCGTCTGCAACATGACATTTCCCAAAACAATGCATTTCAACAGAAACGTCCCCAGAAGCAGCCCTTCTTCGCCTCTCTCCCCGCCCCCGATCCGCCGCTTGGACCCTGGCGCCCAGAGCAGGCGGAGTGCCATCTGTGAGGGGGCGGAGCGAGGTAATTTTATCATATAAATTATTGGGACTCGGATCATGGGTTCAAATCGCCACTTGGGCGGTCCCGCCGGGGAGACTCGGGTGTCGTTCAGCTTTGGGTCCGATACGGCGCAGGAAGCGGGGTGGTCGAAGTGCACACACAAAAGAATGTACCGTAGAGATCTCTCTTCCCAGTCTAATGCATTGGCCATGATAAAGCAATCTATTGGTAGCAGGCTCCATCATCAGCAGCACTTTCTATTAGTGGCGCTCTCGGCTTGGCCGCGCACAATCTATCAATCTATTGGATGAGCAAGGCAAGGAAATGATTGGTAGGAACGCAATGGTATTCACGTCATATGTCATACTGTTATAGCTAACTTACCAGAACCCAAAACTACCCGTGCCAATCAGAATGCCGACTCGGTTCGGCGTGAAATGTTGGGATAGCGAACCGAACCGGCCCGGACGGCTCAGGTCCTACAGCACCCTATCATTGATCCTTGAGGAAACAGCGAACCCGGCGATCGAGGTAGCGGTTGAACGGTTTTTGGTCTCCCGAGGCCCGTTCGGAAACCTCCAATAATCTCCCCGACCAATTCGTTATTCGAGTGGTGGTTTTACATGCACGACGTATATCGGAAATTTCAAGTGTGTCGTCGACCAAGTAGATTCGCCGGCATAAGCAGGCAACACCCAAGTTGATTTGCCCATCCACATCACAATCGCAGCCAACCCATTCAACCCACCTGACACCCGGAACCCTCACTCCGCATCCATCCGTCACTACATATGCACCAGAGAAAGTAAAATTGTAAGAAAAAGCCAATCAATTCAAGAGCGGAGAGACCATTTGGTTTTGTTTTCCCCAGTAATAATGCTAAACCCCACAAAGAGACCCTACCCACCCACACATATATATAATACATCCCAAAGAATACACAAAAGAAGATAGTGCAAAGCTTGTCCCTCTCACGGGTAAGGTTTCACCGAAACGAATCACTGCTTAGGCATCGGTGACTGGGAGGTGAATAAAAATAAAACAAACAAGCAAAGCACCGATGAATTCACCTCCCACAAAAGAAGGAAAGAACATGGTAGTAAACCCAGGAACGATCCCACCAAGCCCTACAAGTTGTCCACAACCTACCTCCCCACCAGCGATCACGATGATGAATCAAGCCAAAAATCAAGATTGATCAATCATCCATCCTTTCAACACCCTCCCCTCGCCACACTTTCTTCCAACGTTCCCAACCCCCCTGCCGTTGCTCATTAATAACCCCGACAAACCCACGTTCACGCAACTGCTCAAGCACAACCTTCATCCCCTCCCTCCTCCTCCCGAACCCCTCCCTCATTCTCCGTACACCCACAAGCTCAATAGACCCCTGCACCGAGCTCGTTGTCCAACCCAAGAACCAGCCATCCTTCACTCCCTCCCCTGTCATTCCATCACTCTGCGTGTTCCGTGCTGCCCCACCAAGTCTACTTTCGAAACGGACCACAGTCGTCACATCCGTTTTCCCTGCTCCGGCCACCGGCGCTTCCAGCCCCGAGGCAGTGGAGTCATTGCCAGGAGTATAAACTTGACTCTCGACAACGCTTAACACCCCCTCCCAGTCTAAATTCCTGGTCTCTGTTTCCAACCGCTGGCTCCTGACGTCCACTATTGACTTCTCGAGGATGTAGGATTCTTTTATTTTGGGAAGGAAGCGGGCTAGCGATGCGGGGAGTTTTCCGCGTTTCAGGTGTAGACGAGTTACGTGAAGATTGCCGGTTTGAGGGTCCAACTGAGATGATAGCGTATCGCTTGAGACCACATGCTTTGAGTAGGGACTGTACCACAATTTACATTAGCATCTTGATGAAATACGGGAAGCAAGAGGAAGAACAAACTTAGGATACCGCAAGAAGTAAGCAAGCGTGACGGCTGGCCATTGGTAGCTATTCATTCATCAATTAGCAGCCAACCACAACCCCAAGAAGGAAAGACCCACTCATAAGAAAACGAATTCTCATAAAACTTCACCATCGTTCTTTCCTCACCACCAATCCTTCCCTCTTCCAATCTTTCTCAGAAAAAAAAATACCCCCTTCCAACCCTCTACCTAGAGAGAAATTGGGGGAAGCACCGTACCGTACCGTATCTTTAGGTACGTCAATGCTCTTAGAAAAGCAGAACAGATGAATGGAGGAGGATGGACGGGGTAGACAACTAGATAAGAAAGCGGATGCGATCGACTTAAGTATGCGTGCGTGAGCGCAAGACACAAGCTAACTGAATCAAACAGACGGACGACTAGTCGGTTGATAGCAGTCCCGTACCGACGGGACAAAGTGAGACAGGCAAGTAGGAAGAATGAATGAGGAGAGCGGTGCCACAATGACGATTGGATCGTAACTTGAAAGAAGTTCTCAAGTTGACAGCGACTAGCCGACGAGCGGTGGGGTGGAAGGAGAACCGCTGAGGATGACGATGAGGACGACAAAGTGGGGGGCTATGATACCCAACTTTCTTTTTTTTTTCTTTTTTCCCTTCTGGTTAGAAGGTATGATATGGAGCGAGGTCACGTGCGGAGGTGGGGCACGTGAGGAGGAGAAAAGATCTTGGCGGAATGAATGAATGAAAATGAGTGGGCTTGGCAACGGTGCAGCTTTTACCATGATAATTATGATACATTCCAGTCTATTCTACGGTATTCATTCAACCCCAACCCTTATCTCCCAATTCTCCCCATCTTTGAATGTTATCATACGACATCATACCTTGAATGATAACCAGAGTCCACAGTTTCCGCAAAGTGCTAGGGTCATTGAACCCTTGCTTATGTAAAAAATGCAAAACAAACACAAACCGCTAGAGGCTGTTTATTGAGATCGCTTCTTTTTTATTTTAATGTATTGTATTTGAGTACTCGTACTGTAGATATTCTATGTAATCTACCATCCCATATGATACTGATCTCACCGCCACCCGGCTAGATACCAAGCCATGATACCAACACCCGGCGCGCAAACTTATTCCTGCACTTAGGCCTACTCCCTGTTAACCGCCACCTAGAACTAGGCCCTCCGCGCGCAGACTCTATAGCTATGGCACACGTTTTTACCATAGCAAGACCCGCCCCCATTCGAGACCTCGAGTGTTGACTTTCTCCGGTAATCGGGGGTTATGAATATGGAGATGTAGAGGTTCGGGGTATTAACTGTCCATCCCTTTTTTCGAACCTATTGACGGGGTTGCTTGTTGGTTTCACGGATTGTCTACGATGGGTTGCTGTAATGTGTATTATATTGAACAATGAAGTGGAAAATGACCTTCAAGCGCGCGCAACTCCCCGATGAGAAATCTCCTTACCACCTCACAATGCCAGACAACACATAAACGTCAAACATGTAGAAAAGCGCGAGTGAACGAAAACTACCATAAAAAATCACCCCCGGTTCCGCAAACTCCTCCTCGGAGTAAAACCCTCAGGTGCGCTCTCAGGCTCGTGAACAAAGTGCTTGCTCCGTGTCCCAGTCTTTGGGGCCACTTTGCGCTTCGGGTTCTTCTTCGCCGACCCGGCGGGCTTTTTAACAACCACAGTAACTACCAGCTCTTTCTTCCCGGCCTTCTTTCTTGTCGTTGGCGGTGTTTGATTGACAAAGTATGAAGATTTAGCCTCCTGAGAGCTGGCGGTATCCTCGGCTTCTTCCTCGGAGTCAAAGATTGACTGGGCAGCCTCTTGCTCTCGGGCTAGCATTTCTTTCATTGACATTGCTTGCGTAGGGATAGAGTTTTTCTTGACAAGTACTTTTTCGGAGGGGTCTTCCTCAACGTCGAGGAGGAAACCGCCGCCAACGCCCATTTCTATGTCTTCGTCTTGGTTGTCTCTTATAAAGCCGCCGGGTTCACCGCCGTCACTAGCATCATCGTTAATGAACCCACCGCCCTCTTCTCCTTCGTCATGAGCACCGTGCGCAGGCTGCCCCTTCCCACGAAACTTTTTCGCAGTGAAGGGGTTGGCTTCTTCCACGCCATCACCATCCTCATACACCTCATGTAGACGCTGGACAATTCTCAACCCAACAATGAATCTCCTCCACAGAGTCAATGCAGCCTTCTCCCGCTTGCCGTCCTCTTTGATCTTCCTCTGCACTTGTTCCTCCTCCCAGGCGTCTCTGACTATGTCTTCATTTTCGGCAGCGACGACTATTCCATCAATGTATGGTGCGGCCCGCTGATCTTTAACCGGCCCCAGCGATTAGTTTTTCATCAATAGAACAACCAACTCCCGTAGGCCCTAAAGAATTGTAAAAACACTCACGCTTAAACTCAAACCCTATGACAGCATCCGCGTAACTGATCTTCAACTTCTTTGCAACCCTCGCAGACCCTCTCAGCGACAGATGCACCGCACCAGCAGGGATCATAGACTGGGTATAAATATCTATGTTCCCATACTTATTCCTAGGAATCTCCCCATCGACAATCTCTGGAGGCACATATTCTCTATCACAACCCACCCCAGTCAGCAAATAGCGCCTAAAAGTTCGGGAAACCAACCGAGTGACAACCCATGACCACATACTCTGTCTGTCCCAAAAAATAAAGCCCTTGCAATACGGTCTCTCCATCCCTCTGCGCATCCTCAATCTCCCGTTTCCGATTGAGTGTCGCAGCACGCGGCTTCACCTTCTTCAGGGCTTGCTCGCCCTCCTTGATGACCCTCCCCTCACGGTACCAGTTCTCGACGGACTTGCATGAAACCATATCCTGTCGGGCGTAGACTTTCTCGTTTTTGGCCTTCTCGCCTTTCCCCGATACGAATATTTTGACGTGCGATTTCCCAGGCTTGATGGCTTCATCGCGCTTTAGGTGGCGTTCTAGAATATATCTGTGGGGATAAGATTGTAAGAAAAAAGTGGCAGTGGAGGGTGGTAAGTATTTAAAGTATCCGGCAAGGAAAGTGGCAAAATCGAAGGTAAATCAAGCAAGGGGTCGAGGCAGAATGGGAAAGGAGAAAGAAGACATACTCCGGATGATCCTTATACCACCCAATACTCTCCTTCCCATTCTCAGCAAAAGATTTCGTCTCAGTTGCAGCAATCCCGACCAGCTCCTCATCCTCTTTGACATCTCGCTCAAGCTTTGGTTCCCCACGCGCCTGGTACCCCCTCATTACATTCCCAAACCAATCACGCTTATAGGAGGCAACTATATTCCCCTCGATATCGTACACAGGGACTTCAGAAGGGAGTATTCGAAAGCCCTTGGCTTTTCCCGGGAAGGAATTCTTAGCTAGGTACCTTACAGTCACATCTTTTGCGGTGCCGTTGTCAGAGTATGCTAGTACGTATGCGATCACCCGCTTAGACTCGACGGCATTCTTGCCTTTTGGCTCGAATTTGGAGAGGAGGTCGGGCGCTGAGCCCAGGGCTGTGAGGACGAGTGGGTCTATGGTGATCCAGGTGGATGTGGTGGGAGAGTACACCTCGGTCCAAAAGATTGGATAGGGGAGGTCTCGATCTATTGTTGTTGTGGGCTCGATCTCGGGGGGTTCTGCGGTATCACATTTTGGTTATTATTGATGTGCACGAGATGGAAATTGAACGACATACGTTTTTTGGCGGGCGAGTTTTTCTTTGTTTTATCTTTACGGACGTAAACACCTTCATCGTCTTCCTCCTCCTCACTATCGCCGCTCCACTCGCTTTCGGATTCAAGAGCACTTGACAAAGATTCCACATCTAGGCGCTGGCGCTTTCTCGCAGCCTTTCTCGGAGATCTTCTTGAAGGTTTTCTTGGAGGTTTTCTTGTTGCAGCCTTCCTACCATTTCCCTTCGTCTTTTTTTCACCCACCACCTCCTCGCTCTTCTCCACTCGTCCCCCTCCTCCATTGCCGTCCGCGACAGCAAGCACTCTTTCTGAAAACGTCTCCCTCTCTGTGAAACCGAAACCCAACGGCTGCAAGGATAACACCATCCTAGCCTCAAGTCCCAGAGCCCTCAGCAAGGCCGTGAAAAACATAGCACCAACATCCTTACTCCCCTTGCACTCCCTCGCCATCTCCCTAAACTCCCGCAAGCTCTCCACTCTCTCCCCCTCATTCTTGAAAATCGTGTACGTTGGCTCCCCATGGTCATCCGTGCGGCCCGTTGTGAACCTAAACCCACCATCTTCTCCTTGTGATAGGCCCTGCAGCCGGTTGGCCAGAACCTCATCCCTCTCGATCACAAACTGTGACATGGGCTTATACCCGTTCTTCCTCAACCCCGGTCGAGTGACGGTGAACCGTTTCTTCCACCAGTGCATTAGACCGTCCAGAACTTGTAAACTTGGGTCCGTGACTCCCGGGCTTTTACTAGCAGCGGAGTGTTTACCCTGCTTTTTCTGCAATCTCTCCACGTCCAGGAGTAACGAAGGACTCAGATGCGAGAGCAGAATAGCCTGGAGCTCCGGATCGCATAGCCAGCGATTACGAATGCTCCCGTGGAAGACTAGGTATTGTACGTGCAGGCAATGGGTCACAAGCCTAATCTGCCGCTCCGCGGCCGAAGCCCCCTTTTTCTTCTTTCCGCTACTAATGCTATTACCATTGCTATGTCAGCACGAATCGAATAGCGTGATGTGATTGGAAGAATAGGAGAATACCTAAGCTCAGTCTTACCGCGATTCAGCGTAAGCTCCAGATCCCGCTTGGGATTCGGAGTGGAAGAAGACCCAGTACCCGTTGTCCCCGCCGCCTCCGGCGCAGAAATGACATTTAGCACGTCCTCCCATTGCATATCGTCTTCTTCATCGTCCGCTTCACTTTCCTCTTCCTCCTGGTCCTCATCACTTCCGCTGTCTATTGCAACCTGCGCTATCGCTTTTCCCTTTCCTTTTCCTTTTCCCTTGCCCTTGCCCTTCTTGCGCCCTGAGACGCAGACACCGACGTCAGAACCGTCTCCACCTCCACCACCGCCGCCGCCGTCGCTGGGGGAACTACTCCCATCGGCAGAATCGTCCGCCAAAGACGGGAACATCGCCTTTCGCTTCCTAGTCGTCATCGCCACCACCGGCGCCTCCTTTTTACAAGCATTTTTTAGCTTTTCCTTTTGCGGAACCTTCCTTCCCTTCCTTCTAGCAGGCATCGTGGGAAGCTCGGTAGTAATATTGTAAGTATCGGTAGGAGTATCGGACACAGGGAAAAAAAAAACACCTTCCCTTCCCCTTTTCTGCCCTCCCGATATGTTAGAGCAAGTGCGGGTCTCGGTAAGCGGGGTGTGTGTACGGTATGTTTGCTCGAGGGTGAACTGAAAGAAAAAAGCCCTTCCAGGAAGACGCGTTCGATACGAGGATTATTACATCATTGTTGTCTTGGCATGTGACTGGACGCGTCCAGTGGGAGAGTGAAAAATAGTGAGTGCGAATCTGTGATCCTGGGAGTGGATGTGAGTCATCTGTTGAGGGGAAATCCCTACGTAATGTTGTCTACTGTTGCATGGTTCGTCACTCTTCCAGGCGAGTTTCGGCAGAAGCCTTCTTCCGCTCTGGCAAGGTGGTGCGGAAGTATCATAAATATTATAATAATATTATTATGATACTTTTTGCTAGGCCATACTTGCTCGTAGGGAAAATATGCTATAAAGATATAGAGACAAAAACAAAGTATCATATTCCTTTATCATACCATATCAAACATGCCCCCTCCATATTCACACATTTTACGAAGAAACTCGTGCCACAGAAACCCACTCCTATATCATACAACGAAAAACAGCCAATCAAATAGGGTTCAAACTTCACAGCTCCCTAACTATTATCATACAATAATATTATTATAATCTCTTACCTGGTATGATATGATAGCAATTAAGTTATTAGATATAGACCTTCCCTTCAAACGAAATCGAATTGCCTAATACAGGTAACTGATAGGCAAGATAGCAAGAACCTCCCATACCGCTCATCTTAGACCTAATACCCCCTTGATTCCCGGGAATAGTCCCAGTATCACACATAAGCAGCTATCATACATTTATTTCTCCATTCCTCATCCCGATTCATCCAACCCAACACGCCTTCCTGCATAACCCCATTCCCTCCGCCCAAATCTCAAGTCGACACGAACAAACTTTAGCACGGCGAGGCCGGCAAACGCCACACATTCTCCTTCCATTCCCGAGAAGATTGGCAGTATCGGGGGGGAATAGGAGTCGTTTAGGGTCGCACACATGATCAAATTTGGTTTTTGTATGTATGTAAGCTCTATAATCTCGCGCAATATGCGATGGCGATGATGCGCAGACTTGTTCGGAGACCTGATATTATTGTACCGGTAAGTGTCATTTCCCTTATCCGCCACCAAGGTCTTTGCGCGCAATTTCTTGATCGAGAGCGCCCATTCTGGGCAAGGACTTTGTGTAACGGGACTCGAAATACCGGTACCTTCCCCCCCCCCACAGCCACCACCATTGCTAAGCGCCCAGGCTCTTGCGATACCAACAGCACGGTACTTCAACTGGCCTGCACGCTTCTGGCTTGATACCTGGTGGCTCAAGGGAGGGCTGCTGATTAACGACTTGTCCCTTCAATCTTTCCCGTTGGCGTCACTTAATTAAGAATCCCCCCCCAAGCAGTCTTATATTGGTATGATGTAGCGCGGTACTGTACAGTGCAGTCAATAATACCGCTGGTATACAGTAGCGGTAGTGGGAATGGCTACGTGCGTACAGTACGATGCCGGTGCCAAAAGGAAAAGGAATGCGTATAACAGGCTGCGCGGTAAGACAAAGGGACATCAGGCGCGAGAGACAATATACATCACGGGGTACGGTAATGCGAATATTTTCTTTGTAATGTATCATACGGCCTTCTCCCCTTCCACGTACACCCTGCTCCCCATCTCCGGAGAAAGCCAGGAACGGAGAAAATAATTAATGAAGGAAACCGTCAAATCCCAAACCACACCGAAGAACGCCAGGACAAGCATAAGAAACAGAGGAGCGGAAAGCGTTAGAACCTAGCGAAAAGCAAATACGGTACTGGAAATGGGTAAAGGTACAGAAGCTATCCCATGAAAAATACAATGCAAGAGGAGACGAGACAAGGCCGACTCTTCCACCCCCCTGGCCCAGCAAGTGCGGGTACACAAACCCGGTTCCCGCATCTCCATAACCGGACTCGCTATGGGCAGACCAGGTGCGCTATATCTCCCGGGCACACTCCGGATCGGGAATCCCCAGGAGAACCGAGCGGCGAGCTCTTCTTTTCCAAACCCCTCGTTCGCTCATCCTTCTCTTCTGATTTACTTTTTCCTGCCTTGCCCTCCCCTGCGGTAGAGTAAATCATATAGACCTCTGACCAAATTATGCTCGCTACCTTTCCACCCCCCCCCCAGAACAAACTCTTAAACTGACTCTGGTGAACCTCTGCCCGCCTTCCCCCCTTCCAAGTGTACCGCGACCACGCCCGGTTCCCCGTTGCCGAAACTCCCATTCAGCTCACATCCGTCGTTAAAAGCCGTTTCTTCTTATCCTTTTTTTTCTTTTTTTCCCCCTCGCTTTACCCGTATGATACACCAGATCAATAGTCATTGTTAGCGCTCCTTCGAACAGAGCTTCCCAGCGACGTACCCAGACTACCAGCGTAGCTGCTCCCTCTCGCGGCATATCCTCTCCGTAAAGGGCTATTCAACTTGCTTGGGCTAAGATTCCTGCTATTCTCCATGCTCATATTAACAAGGCCCTGCATCCCAACGTTCGAAGATTTAGGCATTCTAGGAGTTCCGGGTCCGTAACGGCCTTCGGCCCGGCCCGTGGTTGTGGATGCCATTGCGGCACTGTCACTGCTGCCGCCGTAATCTTCATCAACATCTGTACCAAAGCTTCCACTGTCGATCATAGATGTAGACGCGGGCCTCCTCACGGGGCCAAACTGGGGCTGTCTCATGGAGCCCTTCAATGGCATTGGGGAAAATGGTGATCTAGCGGATGTAGATGGGGTGTGTCTCATGGAGCCAACCTTGTCCCGCATTGTAAGATCTGCATAATTAGGATTTGGGGCGGTCCTGAACCCTTGCCTATTCAGATTCGGTGTGAAAAAGCTCACGCTGGCAGCCTCGCCAGACTCCCTGTTTGCCGTCTGCACTGCTACGTCTCGCTTGAGAACGTTGAGGCGCGGGTGAACAAACTTTTGATCGTACTCGTGCAAAACCTCCTTGTGAATCAGAGTGGTATCCTTGGCCTGTTGAGCAAACGACATTTGGGTATGTATCAATTGCACCGAAAGTATAAACTGCGTGGCAAGCATCATAAGTATGGTCCCAACGGTATTCGTCGTCGGCGGTGTGGGGAATTTGACAAAGCCTGAGCTGGACAAGGTGGCGTTTGAGGTTATCGGCAGCACGAGGAAATAGATGAGGACGTGCACCGGGGAGAAGATGGCAAACAGCCTGAGGGAGAGTGGCGTTGGGTCCCACACAGAAACCTCCCATACGTCACGAGTTTCATCCGGATGCGACCTTGATTCTGGAGTGCCCGTGAAGGACTCCATGATATTACCAAACAAGCGCAGAGGGGAGGTAGTGGTAGGTGAGGAATCCACAGGCACCCTACGGGCACTAGGCGTCGTAGGCTCGACCTGTACATCCATCGATACAGCAATATTAGAACACAATGGCCAAGGCTCCGTTATCAACTACCATCAAACGGGAAAAACGATGCAGGATCTAGTCCCGAGAGACGCGCGGGTCAAGGGGAAAAAGGGTGTAGGTGTCGTACCTCAATATTACTTTCAAACAGTCTATACCGCTTCTTCCGTGAGAAACAGTAAATAGCATTGAAAACACTCCCAGCGGCTAGGACCCACGATAGGATCCAAAACTGTCGATAAAAGAATGAGTTATTACTGCTATAGCCTTGATGGTAGAGAGGAAGACATGAGATCATCTCGCCATGCACCATCCCCGCACTTGAAGTGCTTGACAATGGTGATACACATACAAAATAAGATAATCCAGCACCGCCACCGCTGCTAATACCGCCCGAGTACCCACCAGCAGGCCGCCGCAGGACATCCTCGGCACCGCTGCGCCTGTGGCCACCATTGGAGTTTGCGCGCGATATCAAACAAAGTAGGTTCAAAGCCAAGCCTAGGGGGTTCTTGACGGTATTCTGCAAATTGTCCCAGTCATGGGATTCCAGCCAGATGGAGAGTGCAAGGAAGAGGTCAAAGGGGTTGACCAGGCTCGATAGCCTCTCGGCCAGGGGTCGACGGCGGACGAAGCGTTGAGGAGGCATGGCAGCGGAGGAGGGGGGGTCGTCCGTGTGAAATAGGTCCGCAGCGATGTTCCTGTGGTGAAAAGATGAAGGAAGAATTCAAATACAACTGTAAACCGGCGCAATGGGGTTCGGTGCGATGTGGTCGTTTGCCCGGCATGAAAGGGAGAAAGGGTTCAAGGTCAAGTTAGGCTCCCGCTATTGACTGAGCCTTGTGCCGTGCGGTTTAGCTCGGGAAAAAAAAAAGATGCAAGAAAGTGGCTGCACGCGTTTGTTGTCGTCGGTTGTCGGGGAGATCAGACTGTTGCTACGTGCCATCATAACGTGCCCCGGTCAGCTTAATATTAACCCCGGTCAGCTCACATCATAGTGACCACCATACTGGTTCGCTAGGGCCGCTCAGCAAAAGTTACAAGTACTGTACAGTACTTGAGTACCGCACTGGAATGGTCCCACCATAAAAATCTAGGCAAGCTCCACCGGCCCCATACCTAAGGCAGTGGCTGGCTCTCTTGAGGCGCAATCCTGTGGCCAATGCCCTATTCTGAGGATAGCAACTGCTATACAGAGAGTAGTGGCGTACTGAATTTACTTGAGTACTCGAATTTATGGTACTTGTCCATAGGAGTGCCGTTTGACAAGGTTTTCCTGGGCTGCGTTCCTTCAGTGCCATAGAATTCACTCGCGCTTCCACTTCTTCTGCTGGGAATCTACTTGCGGGAACACTACTTGCCTGAGATGAGCGGGGATTGGCGAGCACTGGAATGTTTGGGTATTGGGTTCTCATGTCACGATCTACCGGCACTCGAGCACTGTACTGTACCTAGTACTGTACAGCACCTGGCACAGTTCGACAAACAACCTTGGCACTGGCGTGGATCCATGTATGATACAGTACCTTCAATCATAAGCAATGGAAATCATATAGATGCTGAACCTTCCCCAAACAAAGGAAGCCTGACCACCACCTTGGACCCCCGCTTGATTCCCCACCTCTCTAGTTGCGTGCAGCGTCTTTGTTCCCTCATCACCATCCCGGACCCCCGCTTAGCCCTCTTCGCATAACCTTGTTAGCTTATTAACCCTATCAGCCAAGGGTTGGAGCCTCCCCTGATTGTTTTTTGGCTAGGGCTTTTCTCTCCACTGGGCTGGTACGGCGCTGCACGAATAAGATATCATATCATCCGGCACCGGCACTTGTACCATCACGATACCCTACCCTACCCTATCATACCAAACTGACTTCCGGACTGCCTCCAGTTACCCCTTCGGCTATCAGAGTATAATCACTACACGAGCACAGTTGGCAAAGGGTATCAAACCTCAAGGCAATTGAAGCCCCCAAAAAACGATGAAATAGCTGCAAGGTCATAATCCAAGGACGGCAATATCCAAGTAAGGCGCCTCCGTAACCCGTGGTGAGGCGTGCGGGGGGAAATGGAGAAAATCTAGAGGCTGTGCAAGTATAATTTGCGTGTACTGGAGTATCGGCATGTGGTGAGGTGAGGTACAGTACAGTACCGGTACCGACAGCCGGTACTTAGGTTCACCAAGATCCTTGCCGGAATCATGAATGAGGCTCAGCTAAGCCCAGGAAAACTCATCCGGGGCGTCGGAACCCGAGCTGCTCGCTATTCACTCCGGCCCCCGTCCCGCAAACCCAGGTGGAACTACTGTGGCGAGGGGGCGTGAGATCGCTGGGATCAAAAACGTGATGAGACGAGGCGTTTTATGCAAGATTTACAACATCCACCTACCCTACAAGACAAGTACAGTACAGTACCATGACGGCATGCGGTGCAATATTATCCTAGCAACACCATACTTGTCCGCCTCAGTTCCTCCAAAACCGTGATAGGATCACGGTAGTAATACGACCCCATGCCGCAACGTAGGTAGTAGTTATATGGTTTGACCATAGCACCATAAACCCACTGCCCAGCACTTTGATCGTGACCCCAGGTCAAGAAAAAGGAGAAAGGGCAGAAATGGAAGAATCTCGAACCGCTTCCAAATACCAATGGAAGCACGTAAGGTATTTACAATAGCACTGTAGCACAATATTCGCTGGGAGTTACCCCTAACGCGGCAGACGGGCGATCAACCAACCAACATACCGGCACATGATTGGTACGAGCAAGTCTTCCGTGTGCGTATCATGTAATACCACACGGAGCCGGAACTCGTAGTCTAGTTTCCAAAGCGCACCTCTATATGTCGATTTCGAATCATTAGTTATGATAGCAAGTGCGGATAATCAGTACGAAATCTTTTCAAGTTAGCTGGTTTCATAAATTTGACATTAAAATCGTCGCACACACACACCAGTAACGAGTTGGCGATGCCTCCTTCTACGGACAGCCCGATACTATCCCCTCACGGTAGCGGTTCTTCAAGTTACAGATACTACGGTAACCCACCACGCATACAGATAATAAGTTAGATTTATCACGCGGAAAAAATCACGCGATACGGTAGCCTTACTAACTTATAGCCGTTTGCTTGAACGGGGTTGTACTGTACTGTACTGTACAAGTACTGTTATCACGTTGGAAGGAAGAGAGAAAGGAAGGAAGAAGAAAAAAGTTGCTTAGACCACGATAATTATCGGATTTGTACAAGTACTCGTACAGTAAATTACTTATGCTATGCAACAAGATAATAATGTGCAGTTACATATGAGCAAAGAAAAGAAAGGAAAAAAGAAAAAAGAAAAAAAAAAACCGCCTTGTACTTATTGTACTGTACTCACAAAGTCTTCGTCCGCCATCTTCTTCCGCCAGTTCCTGCATCCCGGTACGGGTACGGGTATAAATAGCACGATATGAAGGGATAGTATCATAAGCAGGAGGTGAAAGAAAAAAAAAAAAAATGACGACATGCTGGTATCATAATATTATTATCGTACTCACTCTTTTTTGTTTTTTGTACGTTACGAAAGGCGATCACTTAATCATTGGAATACTTACAATATTCCGATAAGTAAAAGGAATAAATAAATAAAAAGCGAAACAGATCCCTTTCCCCTGCCTGCCTGCACTTTTCCCCTGCCTATGATACTCGAGCGGAGGAGACCTGGTAAACGCACTTTCCACGGTTACTGTACCACACTCTATGCGTTCTGGAAGGAAGGAATGTGGACTATTATGCAGGTACAGTACTGTACTTTACGGTAGGGATCAGAGTTCAGGTACCGGTATCACCAATCAAACTATAGCTATGCATGTGCGATTCGAGTACTCGTAGGGTGAGAAAAACTTGTTTTTTTGTTTTTTTTTTGTCCCCTGATTTCTAACGGACTGCTTCTTCTCGGGGAATCTACAGTAAGAGTACTTGTATTCCTACCCGTGTCCATGCTATACTCTACTCCTACTGTACTCGTACCGGTATTTCCATTCGGTTGGGTTTCGCGGCTTTTTTGGGATGGGGGAAAAAAAGGAAAAGGAGGAAAAGGAAAAAGAAAGAAGAAGAAAATTAGGTCATGGACGGAATTGGATCACAAGTTGGACTAACGCTATGGGATGACGTGGGTAGCAGGTAAGTACTGTACTCGAGTGAGTATCATAGTTATCGTGGTAGTAGTGATGGTAGCACCGCTATGTATAATCATGCTGTACTCGAGTCGTGGTCCGACCGTGGATTGGGGAAGAGTAGAGAACTCTAAGAGTCGCGACGACTCTCACCCCCCCACCACCTCCCCCCGCTACCCAAACATCGCGCTGACAATATTGGTATTCAGGTCAGTCGTCCCTCCCTCGTGGGGGTCATGTGGGAAGGTGAATTTCAAATTTCAAATTTCAAATTTCATATGATTAACGGATGACTTAGCCCCCGCGATCCACGTTAATGCTTGTGCCAAGGTGGCGCTCCCATTTCCTCACATCAGTCTGCAAGTGATTAGATCCGGGAAGGTGAATTTCGAATTTCGAATTTCAAACTTCATATGACAAACAGATGACTTAGCCCCCGCAATCCCCCTTAATGCCTGTGCCAAGGTGGCGCTCCCATTTCCTCACATCAGTCTGCAAGTGGTGGTAGTCTAAGGGGTTGACTGACGCTCCCTTCTGCCCTTACCAGCAATGTTCAAAACGAAAGAGTGAAAGGCTAAAGGAAGGCTCAGGAACCAAGAGAAGCTTCTGGAACCCTTTTTTTCTTTTTCAAGGTTAACCTTTACTTGCTCGTGAAACTTTGCTTGCAGTGTGGGACCGTTGCCACCACATAAACCTGAAGTTACTTGCAGATATCATGACACCACTCTCCTCCCCTTCCCCTTTCCTTACCATTTCCCTTAATATTTTCACCTTCCTTCTCGTAGGGCACCAATGTATCCGAACTTCTACAAAGCGCATAATCAAATCTGCTTCTTCTTCTTCTTCTTCTTCGTCTTCTTCCGGATGGAGACTGCAGGATTTGAGACCTTGTAGGGGCGTACAGTGTCTATTTCACTTGGGACAAGGCTGATCTTAAGTATAAAGAAGCGAGAACTATGGATGCAGCGCTCACTTACTTAGGGGTCAGTACCCTACTACTACTATTTCATAGCAGCGCTTGCATCTGCCGGCACGCGGAACAGCCGGTCAACCAGACGATAGCCCTGCCAGATAGGGGGTACCGGCCTGGAGACATGGCGGGTAAGAGTCAAGAATAACTGAAACCCCACCATCCGAGAGTGGGGAGGTTCCCTTTCTTCCATTCTCATCCCATCCTTTGCATGACCTTTGTTATGGTACTTCCCACTCTGTCAACGGGCATGGTCCGAGATTGGGATTGCAGGACTTATTTCGGCCATAATGAGTTTCTCCTGGAGGCCTGCTTCAGAAGTGTACACGGCTGCGTCCGGAGGCCGCTTGTGTCCGACCCGTCATCCAGATGTTCACGGGATTCCGGTTGCCTGTCCAGCAAGGCAAACACATTCTGTCTGAGAATTTGTAATAAACAGTACTCCTTCAGCTACTTACAGCCTAGCACAGCTGCAAGGCAATGAGCCATTAGGATTCTTCGAAAGGCATCCCGAATGTTGCAGTTATTGAGGAATTGGGGTGGAAGAAATACTTAATTTGCTGTAGCACTCAGAGTGTGCCGTTTGTCTACCCAAGTAGCTCTATGTGGG